CTTCTTATGAGATAGCCATCTTTCTAGCACCTATGACTTTGATATATGGTTCAATTCAGTTCAAGTCTAGTTTCTAAGAGTCTAGGGACATATAAGGATGATAAATATCAAGTGCATTGTATCTTAGAGTCATTTACCAAATTATGGTTACAAAGGCTTTAAAGATGAAATATTAAGTTCAATGTCTTTTCCTTTTCTTTCTAGAGACCAAAATACATATTATGATTAATGTGCATGGTCCTAGCATTTCTAGCTTAAGTTATGAGTTCTTTCAAAGCTTATGCAAGCTTAAACTAACTATTTCTTAGCAAAGACTTCATATGTCAATATATATGAATGAAGTGCATAGTCTATTGCTAATGATATAGGAATATATGAATGATAATGATGATATGCATGATCCTATAGAGATAAGCTTCAAATGGATTCATAAATACTTTAACATTGAATCCTAAACACTCACCATCCTATCTACCCATTTCTTCAAGCTTTGACATGATCGTTTAGGCTTTGAGGTATCCTTGTTTTCTTCATTCCTTTGAGTTACTTTCTTGCTCATTGTAGTCCAAGCTATCTTTGGACGGACATTGCATTTTGTTCCTTATAACTTCAACTCTTCTTTGTATCTATTTCTTTCATTGATGTGATCTTGAATAATGGAATACTTGGAATGATCTTTGGTGCTTCATTGAGGTCATTCTTTGAATGTGAATAATCTATATAACACTCAACGTAAACATTAGTCCTTAAATACCATTAATGGTTTGTTATCATCAAAATAACTAGATTATCCTTGGATGAAATCCTTAACGTCAACACTTGTATCATACTGTTAGAATTAAGCGTAGCTCAATTAATGAAAATTCATTTATCTTGTGGCACATAAAGGCTAGACAATATTCAGTGAAAGGTTAGGAAAATTGGTAAAGGATCTGATTCTTCTGAATCTAAACTTTACTCATTTTGGTGTGTATGTGTGAATTGTATTAAGGATAAACAAACCACACACACAAAGAAATGAGCCACAAGAAGTACAGAACTTCTTGAAATTATTCATACAGATATTTGTAGACCTTCTGATGTTCCATCTTTTGGTGGAGAGAAGTATTTTATCGCTTTTATAGTTGATTTTTCACGTTATAGATATATCTATTTATTGCATGAAAATTTCAAGCAATAAGTACTCTTGAAATATACATAAATGAGGTTGAAAAACAAGTAGATAGAAAAGTGAAAATCATAAGGTCAAATAGAGGTGGTGAATATTATGGAAAGTATGATGAAACGGGTTAAAACTCAAATCGTTTGTTAAACTCCTTGAAATGTATGGCATTTGTGCTCAATATACTTTGTTATACATGCCATAGCAGAAGCGTGTAGCTGAAAGGCGTAATCATACTTTTATAGATATAGTTAGGAGTATGTTAAGTAATTTCTTGTTACCCATAATCTAAAGGGCACAAGTTTATACTAAATATAGTACGAGAATTGTTGAAACCAGAAATATCAGATTCATTGAGAATGGTGAAATCAGTGGGAATGATAAAAATAAGAATGTAATTATTCAAGAAGTTAGAGTACAAATTACTTTAACCATAACTTTTAAGGAAATAATTATTCATTCGGTTGTTGAACTGTATAGTAACGAAGAACAATTGAATGATCAACAATTCTATGATAAGATTGTCACCAATAAATAGATTGTAGAAGAAGCATAAGGAATAACATTAAAACGATCTCTAAGAGAAAGAAGATTTGCTATATATTCTGGATGACTGTGAAAAAAAAACTTTTCTGAATTGGAGTTTAGAAAAAGGAAGTTTATATAGATCAAACTAAAGGCTTCAAATTAGAGGATAAAGAATATATGGTCTATAAACTTAAGATGCCAATATATGTACTTAAACAAACTTCCTGACAATGGTATATTAAGTTTAATGATATTATTATTTCGTTTGGTTTTAAGAAAAATACTGTTGATCGGTGTATATACCAGAAGGTTAGTGGGAGTAAGTTTATATTTCTAATTTTATATATATTGATGGTATTTTGTTTGGTAGTAGTGATCGCAATTTATTATATGAAACTAAAAGCTATCTCTAAGAACTTTGAAATGAAAGATATGGATGAGGAATCCTACGTGATAAGAATAGAAATATTCCATGATTGATCACGTGAATTTTTAGTATTGTCTCAAAAAGCATATATTGAAAGAATTCTAGAAAGATTTAGTATGGAACATTATTCAACCAGTATTGTTTCATATATAAAAGGGGATAAATTCAGCCTAATGCAATCCCAAAGAATGAATTTGGTAGAAGGTAAAGAAACGAAAAATATTCCTTATGCATATATTGTGGAGTTTGATGTATATACAAGTTGGTAAGTGATAAAGGATTATATGGTCACACTTAGGAAGACATTTTTATTAATATGTGTATAATTATTGATTCACAATTGATTATTTGTTCCTTTTGACAGGAAGAATAATATTATAAAAAGTGGAAAGTAATTTATTATTACTTTTATCTTATGAATTTTTAATTTGTAGCATGCTTTGAGGCTACAATCTACTGTTGTAGAATTTATTTTAGGACTTGAGTTATGGGTACCATTTTCAGAATGATGAAAATTTATACTGTAACTGTTGATCTTCTTGTATATATATAAAAAAATGATAGGTAAAATACTTTATCGTTAATGAAGATTTTTAGAAATAACGAGTGTCTATTGAAAATAATACATTCATTTAACAAAAAAAAAAAAAAATTAGTAGAAATACATTGAGTTGCAAAGAGGCATTGAACACCTCATAGGCTAATTTATGGTATTCATATCCTAGTGTCTATTTAGTCATGGGTTCTAAAGACTAATGATAGTTGTTGAGTTGGATATATTATTGGCTGCGTTTGAATTCCCATATCTGAAATCATAATTGAATGTTAGAATATGAATTTCAAATGTTTGAAATCATTTGTTCTTTCCCTAGTTGATATGTAGTTTTGAAGTTCAGGGTTAGGCTTCTACTGATTTCATGTCAAAAGTTGGAAAACACTCATCTTGACTATTTCCCATTTCTTAGGTACCGAAGTTCTAAAGACTACGTATTAGGTATTAACAACCATTTTTTAATGGTGGTTGATTTTGTGAACTCACCATGGGAAGAAATTAAAAGTGTCCAATATTAGGCTTACTACTAATTTTTATGGTTTACTATTTTTTAGTTTATATTATTTATAGTCTTCAGTTTCTAGAAATTATTAATAAATAAATAAATAAATAAATCAATAAAATTATTAACACATTTAATTATGTGACAATTTATGATTGACACATTTAATTATTTGACGATTTATGATTGACCAAGTGATCCGAACCTCGGAACGTCCCCTGTTTCGAGTAAGTGTAATGCTTATTGACTATGAAATTAAAAGATACAAGTGCTAGCTAGAGTTTCAGCGTAAAGACAAACATGTCAATCATATCCTCAGAGGCTTACTTTTGGTAAAAACCTGAAAACAGAATAGACTTGTCCATGATCATATCAGGGATATACTTGTATTTTGTCAAATTAGAGTTGCCAATTAACTCTGGTTATATATATTTGATTTTTGCACTCATTAAAAATATTTATGATATTTTTAATTAATTAAAGTGCTATTACTTTAATAAATAATAATAAGAATAGTTTTGGAAAAAATATTATTATTAAATCATTATTGAAATAGGTTACTAGTATTCTGGTACATGGAAGATAGTGAGTGTGTCATTTAGTGATGTATAAAACATTGTTAGTTTATTTATCATGATATTTATGATTGACTAATTTAATTACACAATCTAATTTATGGTACACATTAACGACTATTTTACTAAACCATTATGGAAGTTATCATATGGGCAAGTGAAAGTTGGGTGAAGACATGTAATATATTTCATTAATTAGTGGTTAAATAGATATCAAATTAATATTATATTATTTGGTCAACTTATACATTACTTTTTTGGTAATTAATTATTGTTTTCCTATTCATTCCTTAGTTTTGATGGAAAGTGGAATTAAAGTTACTAAAAGAAAAACTGGTCCTCTTCGTGCCTTTATAAAAGTGCATATATCTCATCAATTATTTACGCTAATGAAAACAATACGATTTCTACACGCTTTACCTATTTTTCTATTGTTTGGAGTTGCAACTTAATTCATTGTTAAAGAATCTCGACATTAGACCTTGATCTCTGCGATATTTGCAATCATAGATCGAGGTATTTATATTTAACTACTTTATTTATGCATTATATTTATTTGTGATTAGTATTTCACACGAATCATTAAAGTTTACACATCATTACTTATTCACACGAAAATTGTCTACCTTTTAATTTTTAGTTATTTCAAAATAATTTTTTATTCTATTTTTTTAATAGTCTTAATTTATTCTCTTTACGTTCAATTTACAAAATTAATTAAAATTTAAAATAAGACCTTATAAAAAAAAAGTTAAACGTTGAAAAATATTTTCCGTAATAAAAAATATTAAAAATTACAATCTTAAAATTTTCCAACCCCATATTTTTCATCCATCCGGTCATCACTTGAATATTGAATCCAAAATCTTTTTAAAATGAAATTGTCCATTTCATTATGATATCGGATATCGGATTGAGGGCTGCTATTCATTGCGAAGAAGGTCGGTGGAGTCAACTTTTACTTTTTGAAAAAAATAATAATAAAGACAACGGCCTTTCGATTAGATAACCCTAACCTAGTTTGTTGTAGGCCACACGTCAACAAAAAACCGTGACCTTTCTTCAACATCTCGCCGCGTATCCGCCACGTGCATACCCGGAGAAATGGACAGCTGTCACACCAGAGACCATCCGCTTAAAGATTAGAACGACAGCTGATTGGACAAAACACCAGAAGCGACAGCCGTGTCGCTCTCTCTCTCTCTCTCTCTCCTCCTCGTATGCACATGTCTATATGTATATGTATTTCCCCATCAACACATTTTTCTTCGCTGAGAGAGAATAATTTAAAAGAGGGTACATTAGGAGACAGAAGAGGACGAAGGAGCACAAATACGCCTCCTTTAAATTTCATTTCCACAAAATCTGCAACTTTTCTGTTCATCCAAACAAGTCTATTCAATTCTCTCGGCCAAAATATCAATTACTCCTTCTCTGATTCATACCCAAATCATAAAAATTCAAGCATTCAATTCAAAATCAATATTTTTCATTTTTCAAGCTTTCTTTTATGGTCTCTTTGACGACCCAAATCCTATTGAATATTCCCAGAGAAGCTCATTTACATGTTCCAAAGAAATCGAAATCGAAATCGATATTGAGGAACGGGTGTGGCGGGAGAAGTGGTGGGGTGGAATTGAAGTTACCGACCAGGAGAATGGCAACAGAAGTGGTGATGAAGACGACGGACGTGGCGGCGTCTACGATAATCCTGACGTCGGGGGCTAGCGGGCGCATCAACGCGCTATTCTCGCTGCGAGTGTTGAGGAGTCTGTTGATGTTGATAAATGCTTTCGTTTTGATATTGCTGTTGCCGTTCCGGAGGCGTCGCATTTCCGCTACGCCTTCTTCGGTTTCGGGTTCGATTTCGTCGCCGTCGCCGGAGAAAGGGAAGGAGGAGAAACATGGTGAGAACGCTAGTGGTGGTGGTTGTAGTCAGAGGAAAGGAGGAGGAGGAGGGAGAGGACCGGTGGTGAGGGTTCCGCCCACGATTGTGCCGTGGAAGAGCTGCAGCTCGGCGGCGGTGGTGGTGGATCAGGATGTGGCGGCCAGAAGAGCGATTGCTATTGGAAGAGTGGTTCAGGATGAGGATGACAGGGTGGTCCGGGAGTATTCAATCTTTTCAACGCATAGAAATGACACTTTGTTCACTCAATCGTGGACTCCTGTTTCAGGCAAAATCAGGTGCACTTTCTTCTTCTTCTTCTATATATTTTTTTAAATAAAAATTCCTGTTTGATAGATTCTTGAGTATTTAGGTGAAGGAGAAAAAAAGAAAGAAAATGAAGGAAAAATACTTTGTTCTGTTTGGAATAAAATTTCAAAAAGAAATGAGAGAAAATTGAAGGATTTAGTAATACTATTTTTCCAACACGATATATTTGTTAATACTATTTTTTTTTCCCTCTTCATTAATCAACCAAAGAGATTAACATTATTCTTATTTTAATTTTAATTTTAATTTATTTTTGCTTCTCTCTCATATTAGCCTTTCTTTTGTTTTCCTTCCTATTATACCAAACACAATTTGTAAGAATTTTATGTATGTATGTTTGCATTTTGTTGTTCATGGAATGGTTTAGGACATGTCAAGTTGGTTCAGTTAGATAATAGGTTGAGCAGATAATGGATCTTGCTTATTCTTTTTGTTTCTATCCTTGGTTTTTGTGTATGAAAATTACATGTCAGTCTGGTGCCTAATAATATACTGCAACTTTTGTTCTCATTTAATATTTTTATGGTGATGCACATAATTGGTTGAACATCCCAAACTGCAGAATTTTAAAATATGCCCTACAGCATATTCTCAATCATTCATTTCAGCACTGTTGCTCATCGATGAATACTTATATTTTCTAGATTGAACCCAATATGTTATGATTTTATCACCTCTGTAATTCCCCGTAGCTGGACTGCACCCCAAGAAAATTGCAGTTACCTAAGTAATTACCTTCTTATGGGGGTGGCGACAATGTCGTTTGTTACCGGCAGTAGAATGTAGTGTTGGTGGAATGCATATAGGATTAGGCAGAGAATTCACCTCACTTTGTGCAAATGTAAAGAATATGACAATGTTGGCAGTGATATGCTTTATTCCAGGCTGTGTCAGGAATAATTGGCACACAATTTTAACAAGTCAGAGCTTTGAAGAAAAGATCTGACATGTGGGGATGGCTTCAGCTATCATTCCATTATTTTTTAGCATGGAAGATAGAAGATATTGCTCCATCAAGTTCCATTTGGATTTTCCAGTTCTCTAGCATCTGTCATTTTATTGATGGAATTAAAATCATTTTATTAACTAATAAAATTGGTTTGAAGTTACAATGTATAGTTGGGACCACTTTATATGAAATGTAATACAGTTTAATTATTAAAAAATAAAATATTATGCAAACCGGGGGATGGATATCATTTTTGTGGTCCATTTCCTAACTGGTTTATGACTCACCTGCAAGGTAACACAGCAGTAATGAAGAATAATTTTCAAAGGCTAGGGTGTATCTGTAGGTTAGGTATTTAAGTAAAGTAAGCACAGAGCAGGAAATCACTTGGTTTCAGCTAATTTTGATTCTGCCGGGTCAGAATCGATGAAACCAAGCCCAACTTACCTCCTGTCTGAATTAATATGTTATGATTTATCATAAAAGAATAAAAAAAATATGGATATGTATAAATAAAATAGTAATGTATAATAATAATTTACTACTACGTATTTGATAATGAGGCTGGATTTGACCCTGAGCAAACTAAATTGAGCCAAATTGAAATGATGTTCTAATGAAGGTTATTGGGTTTGGGTTAACTTTTTCAGCTATGTTTAGATACGATCTGTTGACCTTTAACAATTGCCTTCTTCATATGAGTTGGAATAGTTAAATTTTTTGAAAGTGGATATGGTTAAGAAGTGTGAGAACATGCCACTTTCTATGTTCAATATCTTAATTCTGATTTGGAAATGAAAAGCAGGCAATTTTGGAGTTAGTCATGTTTTTAGTTTGACATATGATTTTTTAATGAATAAATAAGTTCAGAAGTACCATGCGTGTCTATGGTGATTTCCAAATAATAGAACAAAGCATCAGGTTTAGTTCAAAATAGCTTGCTCTGTTTTTGCAGTTTCTACATTTAGAAAGGGCAATACGAATGAGGTGATGTGATTACATTCAGCTACTAGAATTTCACTTTGTCTTCTAATTCTAGTTTAGTTAGGTCCTATTTTTGCTAATGTCTTAATTCTCGAAAATATATCTTCTTACTAAAACCAAAAGGGAAATAAAATTGAGAAGAGAAGAAAGTGGGAAGCAGAAACCGAACTTGTTATGAAGCTAGATATAAGCAGTCATATTGAAAAAAATAAGTGGTATAACAATGGTACAACGTAGGATTGTATTCAGTTCTAGCTCTACTTGTCATGATGCCCGTGCATTATCTCTGATATAGATTTAGCTATCTATTTCAATTCTAAGAAGAACTTGTTAAATATATCAATCAATTACACAGGAGATGACTTTATAAATGATTGGCTCTTTAATAATTTGTGTAGTTCACAGTGGAATCCAATATGGAATTCATGACAACAACTTAACTACGTATTATTTCTTTTAACATAATAATTTTAGCGTTTTTGTTTCTGAAACTTCTACATGGATGATTAATTTATTGGGAAAGTGCATCTAGGTGTTGATCTCCCTCAACCTTAATTTCCTGGATGCATATGTGCGCTTGAAATGTGTTCCAAAGTTACATAGGGCTACATCATGTGTTACATAACAGTTTATTCTATAAGATTTTTTTATATAAAGTTACTACTAGCTTATAATTAGAATTTTTGAAAAAAAAAAAATGGGACATAATGTTGGGTGGCTAAAAACAACATCTTTATAAAATTAGTGTTGTCCAAATGAAAATGAGGAGATGGATTGTGGTAAGATAAGAAAGGATAATGATGAGATTTGTGGCAAGATAAGAAAGGATAAAATTAGAAATGAATACATGCATTAAGCAGTTGAAGTGACACCAATTGCAAATGAAATGAAAGAAATCGACTAAAATAATTTGACTGTGTGAGACAAAGATTCAAGAGTGATGGGATCCATGCAGAAAATTATAGGGAGAAAAGGCAGAGTAAAACTAACATGGATTGAGATAGTAAAGAAAGATATAACAGTATGTAGTTTGACTAAGGTTATTGTTTTAGAGAAAAATGGCGACTCAATGTAGTGGTTAAAAGTATTTGTTGAGTTAAGCTAAGTTGAGTTGGGATGTGGTGCAAACGAGTTCGATTACTCACTTGATGTGAGAAGTAGGAACTCTTTCTCTGCAATCAAATTTGGACTTTTTTCTTACATCATCACATGTGTGTCCGATGTGGATTCATGTATCAGATACATGTCTTGTACTCAAACCTGTATCAGAATCTGGTAAGACAAAATAACATAATAGTTTATTCTTCTATTTCGCAAGTGCAAACTTCAAGTTGAATTTTTCATTTCCAATTTTTTTCTACTACTCTATATATATTTTATGAGACTGTTTGGTAATTGTAAGGAAGGTTGGTTTTATATTCATTGACCACTGGTAGAACTAGATTGGTTAGAGAACATGTCATGGTGTAGAAAGAATTGCATTTTATTGCTGCTGATAATGATATGTTTTCTGTGTTTCTGATCTTAAAATTAATTCTTTTTACATTTAAATTTCCTTATGTTGTTTTTGAAGCTTCAAAATTCCCATTGGGATCTGCTGCTGATGATACTAATCTATTTTGTGCAGGGGACTGGTTGTAATTTTGCATGGCCTGAATGAACACAGGTTGGTAATATGTGCTTTCCTCTCAAATGTACTGTCATGTTAAGTTAAATATGTAACTTGTTTTATTGCTAAAGAGATATGCAACTTTTATAACAGTGACAGATACAGTGATTTTTCAAAGCAGCTGACTGAAAATGGATTCAAGGTTTATGGAATGGACTGGATTGGTAAGTTGAAAAATGTTCAATGCTGATTATTGAGTTTTGACTTCCTACTGAGCCAGGATTCTTCTACATGCTTTCTTGAAAATATTGTGTATATCATAATATTTATTGTCTCAGCTCTCTTTTCTTTTTTGTTTTTAAGTGTTTCTTTTTCGGTAATTGGTGATCCGCACATATGGATATATAATTTGCGGTTTGGTTCACAAACATTTGGTGCTCAAGATTATCATACGAAGCACTTGACATTATGTTTCAAGCTCCTTGTCTGAGCGTTTAAGTGATTAATTTGGATGCATTATTTTCATGATGGACTTGAAGTGCCTCTTACGCAGTCAAAGATGCTATCAAGAGCATAGTATTCTTAAGAAAATAACATAGAATGCTGTCCAATGCATTTCTGCTAGCTATCTTAACCTAGTTCCCATAAATCTAGTCTGAGGACGAGGCTTAGCTGTTAAAACTCATTTTTTGGAGACACTGGCTTGTTACTCTTTATATTATTTCAGAGTATCACAGTTCAAACATGCTTCTATATGTGGATGTTGCAGGGATTGAACATTCCAATTTGTATGCCCTTGATGGAAAAAAGTAACATGCGAAGTTCCTTAATAAGTGAGCTTATTATTTTAGTCTTTGAAGACTATGTAAAAGAGAATGAGAAATCTTAAGCCTCTAGACATTCTTTCTTTTTACAAGTTGAGAAACAAGAATCCAGAATTAAAGTGTGTTTGCCTGGAATTTTCATTTTCCTTTGTATCTGAAAATTGGTTGACTCTCTGTGTCCTTTTCAGATTTGAAATGTTAAACAATGCAAATTAATTGTCTAATATGAACTTGTTTATAGGTGCATGCTAGTGCAGGCCTCTTGACTAATTCTGCAGAAATCAGCATAACTGGTTCAAGGTCTGACCTCACTCCTCAAGTGGGAGATATTTAAATATATAATTTGAGAACCATACTTTCCAAGAAGGGAAGAAGAAATAAACTTTGTGAATCACTTACGTTGAAGGGTACAAATATGAGGATTTTAATGCCTTGAAAATTGATTTTGCTAATATGACCTGAATTTGCTTGTGCTATGTCGGGTTCTCATCCTTATTTGTGATGTTCCATCCCTAATTTTCTGCTTACAAAAATTAATTTTTTTCTTAACAAACTAATTCTTCCTCATATTTTAGGACATGGTGGAAGTGATGGACTGCATGCATATGTTCATTCTCTTGATGATGCTGTTACTGATACGGTATGCTTTAAGGTTCATTCAAGAGATGCAGATGCTTTTTACTTGTTACAATTATATCTCGGGTACAGATTAGTTGTATTTACTCATTTTCCGTCAAATTAATGCAGAAATTATTCCTTGAGAAGGTTTTAGCTGAGAATCCAGGGCTTCCATGTTTTTGCTTTGCACACTCGACTGGTGCAGCTATAGTCCTCAAGGTGAGGCTGGTTTGACATGTTGCGTTTCTTGCAGTTCTACTCAGCTTGACTTTGCATTTGTTAAACATTTGATTTCTGCTTCATATGAACATTTGCAGGCTGTACTTGATCCAAAGATTGAAGGTTGCATAGCAGGTGTTGTACTGACTTCACCTGCTGTAGGAGTTCAGCCATCACATCCAATTTTTGCGGTAAGGATACTTCTATGATCACGTTGTCTATTTTGTTATTGTTTTAAAAGCTTTTGAGTTGAGAAAATATAAGTACGGCATATCTCTGATTACAAAATGAATCAGGACATGTATAAATTTTAATTATGTGGTTAGCAAGGTGAATGTAAATTTTTTTGTGTGTTAGGTACTCGCCCCCATTTTCTCGTTCTTGTTGCCAAAATATCAATTCAGTGCTGCCAACAAGAAGGGCTCGATAGTTTCCCGGGACCCACAAGCGCTCCTGGACAAATATTCTGACCCGCTTGTATATACGGGATCCATCAGGATAAGGACTGGTTATGAGATTCTTCGAATCTCATCCTACTTGCAGCAGAATCTAAGCAGATTTAGAATCCCCTTTCTAGTTCTCCATGGCACTGCTGATACTGTAACTGATCCGAAAGCTACCCAAAGACTATATGAAGAGGCCTCTTCAGTAGACAAAACCATCAAATTGTTCGAAGGATTGTTACACGATTTACTCTTTGAACCTGAACGAGAAGAAGTTGCGAAGGACATCATCGATTGGTTGAATTGTAGGGTAAAAGGTTAGGCGGTGCATGGAGGGAAGAAAAATGTCTTATCGCAGGAGCTTAGCTGTGGATTGCTGCTTGCAGTTTGTTCCAGTTGCAGATGAGAAAAAAAGTTGTGTAGCTCAATAAAATTCAATGATTGAATGACTCAAGTGTTGAAATTAACCTGGCACCACTGGATTTTCATATATTGCAAAACTACATTCGGAGTTCTAACGAGCCCTGTAAACTATGTTTATGGTCATGTTGCTTTGATGTTCTAGGGCATATTCATCATACCCAGACTGTAAAAATGCAGGTTGGGTAGGGTGGGACAGTTGCTGCCTGTTTGGATCTAAAATTGATAATAGAATGACCGTTGCTTGCTTGTGATTTTATAATTGATTTTATGCTTCGTCAAGCTATATATTCCTGGCTAAAGTTGTATCTTGCTGGGGTGATGATTTCAACTTTAATTCAAGAGGTTGATTTGATACTCTCGAACACAATTTAAGGTTTTGTACAAATCTTAGGCTATATAATCTAATAAGAACCCTGTTTGTATATGAATTTTGTAGATAGTGCATTTTCATTTATTTTTATTTTATTTTTTATTTTTTATTTTTCTTGTTCTTGTCTCTGGAAATGGCATTGATAACAAAACACTCATTCGTTTATGTAGAAAAGTGAACTCTTCACTTCTCACATTAAAATATCTCCTTTGCTGGATTGGATACTTTGGTAGGTTGAGAAACCATAGCAATTTAGTGCTAGATTATGATGGAAGTCTATTATAATTCTTTATCTAGAGGTTATATAAGATATGTTGGATTCTGTTTGCCCACTAAAATAAAAATTTAGTTCAACCACATGACGTGAGCCGATTGGAGAAGGAATTAATTCAAAAAAAACATAACAGTAGAGGATTATAACTCTTAGACTCAAAGACTGTATAACAAATGCCAAGCAAGCAGGAGTCGTCTATTGTATTGTGATGAGTTTATTATACGACTTGTGTGGGATAAAAATCAGCAAAAGAAATTCATTTTATTAAGAAGTACTGTGTATTATTTATTTATTTCCTGGCAACCAAAACACCGTTACATAACAAGATTACATAAGTCTTTCTTGACTGCTGCAAGAATATCAACCATGATATTAGCCGGGCCAACAGAACTTCCTCGACAGCATATAATCGAAAACAAAGCAAGATGAAGCCAACCCATTACCACCATGAGAACACAGAGGAAGGGAATCTCAAGGAGAGATGAGGAGGAATCAAGAAGGGCAGCCATCACCTCCTTCGCGTCGCTTACAAACCAGCCTCCTTAACAGCAAGAGTGATGCTCTCAAGAGCTCCAAATATTTCCCCTTCTCCTCTGGCCAAGTTTTGCACTAGACCACCAATATCCACTGGACCTTTCACCATACCCATCCAAGGCGGTTTCCAAACTTGAGGCATTACAAGCAGCAAAAATCCGCCAGAAAATTGCGCACATTGGAAGTTAGCATCAAGAGCGTTCCAATACCCATTACGTATTTTTCAAATCCACCAGATGGTCCCCTACTGTATCTTCACACAATGGGTGAATAAGTTACAGAACCCACTAGAGAATTGGGCTCAATAGTGTCAACCCAATCAGTCATTGGGTTAATATTTTCAACTTGGGCGAAAGCCCACCGTTTGAATGGATACAAAAATCAATAGTGTGACAATAGCGTGAACCATAAGGCCCAATATCCAGTGGCCCATCAATCCCATACTAGAACCTTCCAGCAGTATGTGGTCCAAAAAGTGAGCATCAGATGCACCAGACGTGCAACGTGAAGTATAGAGAAGAATAAGTATAGACAAATTTATATGTATTTAAACTCAAATAGTGAAGTTTTGAATTTAAATTACAAAGAAGTTTCAAGTTTCAACTGCCAAACAACTACTTCCAACTAACTAAAAGCTCAACTATAAATAACGTTGAAGGAGGCCTGTGTAAAAGGTGCCCGACCAAACGAAATTTGCATTTAATTACACAATGTAATTCTTCCTTTTACTGCTTTAATTACACAATGTAATTCTTCCTTTTACTAGGAGTAGGAGTAGGAGTAGGAGTAGATTAAAACTCTTATTCTTGTTCGTTTTTTATAAGACTAATACTTTTTATTTTGTAAGTTTTCTTTGAATAGATAGACATTTGGGCAATTCGCTTTGTTCCCTCCATTCGTTCCAAAATTCAGAATTGAAGAATGCTTGAACAGTACGTGTTGTTCTTTTTTTCTCATTCCAGAAGAATGCTTGAACAATACGTGTTGTTCTTTTTTTCTCGTTCCAGCCCCTGTTTGTCATAAGTCCTCTTTATTGATGTGCCAAAGACCCTGAAGGAAGAGGTCATCCTACCTTCCAACAATCGCCTATTTCTCATTGAGGATCGATCTGTTGATCGTGTCGCATTCAAAGATAGTTTGGCATTCAACTGTTTGGGTCTAATTAGACCCTGGTACACCCTAGAAAATTTAAGCTAAATAATTTATTTTTTTTCTTAGTTGGTACTCATACACACTTGTCTTTTCTGAGACTTGAACTCCTGACCTCCCTTTGAAAAGTAAAAGGCTGATACCGCTAGGTCACTGACCCGTTGGTCAAACAATTTAGCACGCCTAGTGGGACACCAAAAATGTCGAAAATCAAAGGTGCTAAAAATCAGAAGCTATGATACCCCCAATTTTAGAGACATGGGTTGATCAGGTCCATGCCTAAAATCAAGATATATCAAACAATTAATAATAAACAAACACAAAATACAAGAGTAATAATAATAAAATAAATAAATAAAGCTAAAATGGAAAACTAAAATAGTAATTAAATTGTGAAAATTCTCTGATACCATAATCTCCAATGAAATCACATCATAATAATAAATCTCCAGCGTACAACTCAGGAATCCAAATATCATTGACCCCTAAATAAACTAATTCCATAACTGAAATAATAATATCTAAGTTTAAACATTTAATAAACCAGATAATATCCTATGTCGTCAAATCTGGAAGAATGAATAAGAATGTCTCTGATTAGCACAAACAATCTCTAGGTCTGGAACTGACGTGGACTTAAAAAATAAATTGTGGGTTAGACCTATGAGCAAGCCCTCTTTACTACGACCCAATCAGAAAACCAATAATCAATACACCCCTAACTAAATTCATGCAATAGCTATATAGTCGATATATATACACACATAATAAGATGCTCACTGACATATAGGGCAATCTCAACTGGATAGTGGGTATCTCATGAAAAATCGCACACAATGTGGTCAAAAGTCTCCCTCTACTAGGGCACACACATCTCCTATACCTAGTTACTAATCTTTCCGGTAGTATACACCTTAGACCTAACAACTGATCCCGAGGCCACAAATCAACTCGTATAAGAGCATATATAAATATATATATCATCTTCAATAAGCAAAGCCATATCTAACAGTGGCATAAGTAGTGTGTCTTGACTTATTAGTCAGCCCACCTACATATCAAATCGTCAAATCATATCTAACAATGGTATAAAATATCATGGAACCTAGCTTATTAGCTATCTTAATGATCTCATTACACACAACCATTAATCTTGTAATGTTTCTCATTTTTGTATTTTTCATTTTTTAGGAATTTTTCAATTTTTTTGGATTATTTTCGTTTTCGCCTCACCGTGGGGTGTGCCGGGTGATTTTCGAGGGTTGGTTGGGGCATTTCTTCAAGTCCGGGACTCTTAGAAATCCATTGTTAGCTATTTCGGCTACTTTCAATTTTTAAGGCTTGGAGGTCCCAGGACGGGACCCGCAACCGGATTTGTCATGCACGGGGATTATTTTTTGGGGCCGTCATATTTCTTGCATCATTGTTTAGTGCATGTTTATATGGCTAAGTGGTTATTTAATTGTTGTGGCATATGTGTATGTGTATATATTTATATAAAAGACAAAAGAGATATTTTATGTTAGGTGGACACCACATATACATTGGTCATTACAACGACCACATGGTTATTACCTGACCATTTTTCTTTCTTTCTTCTTGCACCATTTCTCTCTTTCTCTGTAACTTTTTTTTTTTTTTTCTTCTCCAAATTTAAGCTTAGATCTACTCCTCTCTATTGAGAATTTGACTTTGCCACTGAAGGCAAAGTTAATGAGCACGATGAGAGCTTTACTTTGATCGGAGCCGATCTTCAATTGGGCCACTTTGGATTTTTGGTTTTTGGGCATAAATTGGGGATTTTCTTCATTTTTGAGGTAGGGGGCTTCTAAGATTCATTTTCTTTGGATTTTTGTGAATTATCTCTTTTGTGATAGTATCCTTGCATGTTAAATTGTAAGTTTACTTCATTGTTATTAAAAATTTTCTGTGTGAGAAGCATGACAAGGTGACTTATGTGTTAAATGTATTTTTTTTTTTCCTGAATTGTGTTAAATGTATTGAATTACATGCTTAGATGGTTTATTGTGGAGATGTGTGCTTAGTTGATTGATTTACATATTTTATTTGCTTATGAGGCCATGATTGATAAATTGAGAATGTGGTATTGTGTATAGGTTTTCTTCTCAAAGCATGCAAGCATGATATAGGTGAAATGTATGAAAATGTATATTTGACATGGCATTAGAAGAGCATGAAGCATTCATATATGGCATTGGGCAAGAAATGGGAAAAGTTATTTTTGAAAAGAAAAGAAATTGATTTAGGGAAAAAGTTTTGAAAAGTGGGTTGCGAAAACCTGGACGCCTAGGAATTGCCTATGGGTATGTAGCGTTAATGTGACCTAAAGGGGACTAGGGAGGGGACCCTAGCGTGGTTGAGCTACCTAGGCCCCTAAATGACGCCTTGAAGTTGTTATGTGGTCAAGGATAGCTAGCCAATCCTTCTCTCGAGGAGCCATGAAGCTGCCATGGGCGGGTTGTATTAACGGTTTGGAATGGATAAACGGAAAAGACTTGGAAATGGGGAGCGACATTAGCATATCATTGTATCCCATTGGCATGACATTGTGTATATATGGTTGGATTGACAGTATTATTGTCATGTTTCCCCTCTAAAATAGTATGATCCCGTACTCTCATCTTCTATGCTTTGTTTGGATTCACGGGATCATTAAGAGGTGTTTCTTAGGCACCTCCTATTGAGCCGTTGTGCTCACTCCTTCATTATTATTTTTAGATCACGGGAAGGAAGTGGCTGACAGCGCTCCTCCACAAGCTTTAGGTGGATAATAATCAAATCCTATTTTTTTTTTTCTTTTCTATAAGCTTAGGTGGATTAGTGGACTGTTTTTGAGAGACATAATCCAAATGCCATATGTTTCGTGCCAGCACACGAGGGTTTGCCTGAATATAATGTTATGGCTAAGCTTTGCCCATACCTTGGCTTATTGCGGCATGACTCTAATGCCAACTGTAATGGGTCAGGTGCTTCGTAGTTTGACCCAAAAGCTTAATATATTAGGCGGTGTTAACACCCAACCTATATATATCCATTTCACTCCTTATCTGAATTTGATATGGAACACCTTTAACATTTTCCCCCACCTAAACTCACAAGACCCTCGTTACAGTCAGGCTACCCTGCCTAGCTGGGGTGGCACACCTAGACACCTCTGGGTCGGGCGCTTGGCATGACACTAGATCAGTGACTGCGCTTGGGTCTAATACCAACTGTTATAGGGTCAATTCTAACACATAAATTTTTAATGTTACAAGGGGGGACTTGTCTTACATCGGATTTGGATGGGGAAGTGATTGGGTATATATAAGTTGGGTATTAGTCACATCTAATATCTTAAGCTTTTGGGTCAAACTGCGAAGCACTCGGCCATTATAGTTGGTATCGAAGGCAGAGCTAATTCTTGATCCTGTATCATGCCAAGTGCCTAGTAAGGGGGCGTCCGGGTCTTCACTATAGGGAGGCAAAATGTCTCGACCGCAACAAGGACGTTGCGAGTTCAGATAGGAGAGAATGTTATAAGGAAAAACTTATCCCACATGGAATCTTAATGGGGAAGTAATTAGATATATGTTAGGTGTTAACCCCACCTAATAACTTAAACTTTTGGGTTGAATTACGAAACATCCAACTCAATGCACCTTGTCTCCTATTATACTTAATTTTTTAAAGATCATTTTACTTACTTCTTCCACGTGAGTTTTTGGTCAGCCTATCTGTATCTTACCTTCTATGTAAATAGATTTACCTTTTCTTACCAAAGCATCCATAGGTCTCGATTATAAATAACCACACTATATAAATCCCTTTTTTTTCGCCCACACCCCCCCCCCCCCCCCCCCGCGCGCGCGCGCGCGCGCCAATAGGCACTACTACTACTTTGTTCCTCACATGTTAATTATTAATCATATATTTCCTAGTAACTTCTATTATCATCATCATAAAATTCTCATTTACGTTGAAGTGTTGTTCTTGTTTGAGTAACTTCATATTTCCAAGAACACTTGTCTTGGCACTTGTTAATTTCAGATTTATTTTGGTACAAACTTACGTGAAGATAAATGGAGGCCATGGAGCTAGGAAATGACAAAATCTTCAATACTTATATTGTTAATTTCTTTCTAGGCCGAATTCAGCCCAAATAACAAACCTAGGCCAGGGAGCTAGGAAATTACAAAGAGTAGTGATAGAGAAACCGAAACTTTTTATCGAAAAAATCACCGGACTTGCCACATCAGACTCGTTATGTGTGAAGTAATTACGTATCATCTATTTTACTTTATCTCCCCACTTTCCCTTTTTCTCTCTCTATCTCTTTGTTTCACTCTCTTCTCTTGATTTGGATCATTTGGTTATTCGTTTGCTTCATTAATTATTCTCACATTTCCTCTCTCTCTCAAAATCTGAGTTTCCATTACAAGAGACATTTATTCTCTTACAGAATGAAAATATACTTGAAAAATAAACCAATTTTTTTATTTAAAAAAAAAAAAAAAAACTAACCAAGAGAAGAGAAACAGATGAATCTTCTTAAAGTTTTGGGATATAAAATCCAAAGTTTCCATATCTTCCCTTGTGCTCATCTTTGAAAGCCAGGTCTAACGCTATAAATCCATATTCGTGATGAAAAAACATTCACCCATACTCTTACGCAACACTGTTTCATCCCAGCAGCTCTTAACTGTGTCTGATGCCTTTAGAGCAGTTAGACAACTTTCCTAGCGTAGGGCACCACAAGCCAACTCGTTCCTTCCATAAGAGCTAGCCCCTTACGGAATTAATGTTCCATCTTCAGGTAAAGTTGTAATCCTTTGTTTTCTTTGTACGAAAATCCTTCACTGCTTGTGTACGCCAAAAAAAAATTTCCCTTTTGTTCTTTTTTTTATTTTTTTGTTTATGTACATGTTATTTTGGAAGAAATTTTAATGTTTTATTTTTTTAACCTTCAATTTTGAGAAATTAAAACCGTAATAGAACCAGAATCTAGAAAGGGAAGAGCCAAGAAGGGAAGCGAGAAAAGAGGAGAGAGAAACGAAGAGTAATAGAGGAGAGAGAATAACCTGACGTGGATAAGCCACGTTAAATTCGACCTATAATTCGGGTGTTTGGTCGGTTCTCATAACATTTTCCAATGACAGAAGCTTCAATGCCTATATAGGAAATTTCTTTCTGGGCCGAATTCGGCCCAAATAACAAAACTCATTGAAACTGTATCGAAAGTGGTCCTAAAAATTGCATTGTTCACAAATCATGCCTTCAGTCTGATTGGGATGCTTCAAGAAGAAGAGAGCAATTGACATATGGTTTTGGATGCTAATTAATTCATGAAGTCAAGCTTGGCATGTGGGAAAATTTTGGACATAGAAGATTGCCAAGTTCGTGCATATCACCACAGCAAATGACAGCTCCATTTTCCACTCAAATTACATGCTCACAAGGTTCGATTTGGCTTAGAATCAAACGGTCCTAGCGATTCTACAAATATCAGAAACCGAACCAAATTGTTAAATCAATAGAGACAATCCGAACTGTAAACGATCGGTTTAGTTCGGGTACGGTAAAAAAATAAAATTGCATATTTGTAATATATATATACCAAGGGTCCTGTTGTCCAATGTATCTCCTCTACCTCCCAAAGTGGATGGTGAAAGTTCGAGTCTCCAAAGGAACAAAGTTGGTGTGTGAGTTTTTTTGTTAATGACAATATATATATATATATATATATATATATATATATATATATAAGAAGATGACCCCAAGTCCAGACCATTTAGCAGACCACATAGAGCAAGGTTCCGAGGTTCGAAACATTAAACTTCCACCAAGAGATTAAAAGTCGAAACATTACACTTCCACCAAGAGATTAAAAGGTTCAAACATTACACTTCCAAGGTCCGTAGGTGCTTCATAGTCAATTTGAACATCTATCTACTTCCTTCCTCTTCTGGTTCGCTTCCCTCTAAGGGGGGTAGCCCTAACACTTCTCTTTGATCTTGTTGGAGTAGCAAGAGCTCCATTCTGCGATTCCATTTTGCTCAACTCTTCATTTGAAAGAGAATGGCATAATGAAGCAGTCGTTTGAGGAGGAGCCAGGCATGTCGGGCCATCACCTTTGTCATGCGGGAGAGTTGAAGCTTTAATTGAAGCCGGTAGCTCACAAGGCACTGAGGAGTAATCACCACTTTCCTGGCGAGGTCTAGGAGGGGCCTCAAACGAATGAGAAGTTCTTGGAAACATTCTAGCACTAGGCTTCTTTTGTAAATTCTTGATGCGAGTACTTCTCCTAGAAATTTCTGTCAAGTCTCGATCCTGAAAAACACCACATTACCAAGGGCAATAAGTAAATGTTAGGTCGTGAGTTTCCAGTTATACAGTAATGCTTAGTTTCCAAATCTTACAGCACGACTATCACCATATGAGAAGTCGTAACTTGCATTCAACAACTCCGTCTTACGTTTTAACAAATATGGGTCAGTTAGACACGTCTACTAATCTAGTAAAAATTCAAAACCTTAAAATGATTTACGTTTTTTTTTTCAGTATTTTAAAATGCACAATCAGGGAGTATTTTCATTTCTGGTGCTTCTTTACTAGCATTGAATTTACCGTGTTTCAAGAAAAACACATTACTCAAATAAATTTAACCTCCTTACCAGGGATAAATAAATTAATTTAGCCCACTTATCAATAGAGAGACTAAATTTCCAGCACTATTTAAAAGTTCATTTTAATAATTCAAAATAAACAACTTCATTGAATGATATTTATTCAAAAACAGGTGATAGATATAGGAATCTAAAACAGAGCAGTGAGGGTTATGCAACAAAAATCACCATATTGCAAATGAAAATGCTTTTGTGAAAAATAAATTCTCATCAGAACCGCATTTTGGAAGACAAATATATTTTCGTTTATTTTTAAAAAAACTGGAACATAACTAAAATTACCATAGTTTCAGGGGGATTAACAGTATCTGGTATAAATCTGCAGCACAGCAGCGGAAAGAGTAACGTGAAATATGAAATATACAACTTATATAGTTAACTAGGTCGAAGAATCACAATTATAACGGGATAGTACTACTTTTTTATCCATAAATTAATTAAATCTTGAAAAAGAACATTTACAGTAATTAAAATCCATATATATGTGATTTAATAAATTTAAACCTCTGTTGCCCTGAAATTTAATTAAACGAAAGTCAACAATATACTTACTAAACAATAATGAATCTCATGAAACATCCTATATTACAGCACAGTCATGGATTTAAGCATATCCTCAAAGGAACCATTAGTCATTCTTTCATTAGGATAAAAATAAAAATAAAAAAACCAGCGTTCATTAAAATGATCTATGGACAAATTATGTAAATAAAAAAATTGGCTATTCATGATGCAAATGCACGGTAAAACTAAATGTTTACTACTAAGTACATGTTCAACTTCCCTCTTTCTTCACTCATCAAAAGGTTAAAATCAAGCATGACTGGGGTCTTATTCTTGCCAAGGGTACTACAAAGTACATGTACATTTCTTCACATCTCCACCCTCCTAAAGGTGAAATCTAATCTAACATGGTTAAAAGCACACCTTAGTACACGGTAGATAGTAAAAGGCAAGGGTCATTAGACGACAATCCAGTCCATTCTTTTTTATCTTGCATGGTTTTGGACACTTATTTTTCATCAACCCATTCCATGAACTAAATTAATCAAGGCATGAGAGCACTCTTTGAAAAACCTGGACAAAATCCAAGTACTTTTCAAAACCTTTCTTTATTTTTTGTGCTTTTGTATTCTTGTCATGAGTCATGACACAATTCACAACTCTAAAAGATAAATATATATATATATATATATATATATATATATATATATAACAAATCACAAGATTCATGTAAATGATAAAAAGGAACATTATTGCAGTTTTTATGGTCCTTTTAGAGTGTATAACACATTTCATATGCATAGTTGAACCCCAAACCTGTAAGGTTGGTCCACTTTAACCAAAATGGGTTTGACTTTAGGTTCCAAATTTTTATTCTTCATTTTTATAAACGACTTGGACTTAGAAGTGGAATAATATCATCATATTCAATAAACCTCATCACTCCTTGTTGAATAAGATCGTGGAATTGGATCAGGTACCTCGGAAGTTGGTTGATTACCTGCAAGCAAATATAACTCCTCAATCCTATGCCCAATTTTATTCTGAAAAAATTAACATTAGAATTCAGTTTTACTTCTCTAGGTAAAGATGACATACTACTAGTGAAAGTATGGAAATTATCTCATTAGCAGCCAACCAGAACAATTTGAGTAATCATTTTGCAAGGCCAACGACTCTGAAGAGAAAAATTAAGCCCAAAAATGGAAAGTGAAATAAAATAACATATTTCAATATAATCACAAACCATATATATTAATGGGCCAATATGGAGCCTTGGTTGCAGCATCCAAGAGTTGCAAGAGTGCTTGATCTGCCTTCATGATGGAAACCGAAAATCCTGCCAAAAACATAAAACTGAGAAAACAATTTTTTTTTTTTCAAACAACACAGCAACTCTTGCAAATTTAGTGAACCTGCCATGTCAAGAGTAGTCATAAATGACCCACTATACACTCTATCAACAGCAAGTTCATGTTCCAACTGCAATCTAGAAACTGCTTTTCCAGCAACAATCATCAGTTCCATTATGGGTGTGGCACCTAATCTGCAATTGAAACAATAAAACGAACAGTGAAGTCCTTTATTCAGGAAAAAAAACTACTGGGTAGACATAAAATGACTAGTTAGGGAGGTAATAAACAATCATCATGGTAAAGAAGTGTTCTTAATTAGACAAATTGATGACGCACTAAAGTTATGTGCAAAATACAATTACACAATTTTGAACAAGTAATCATTACTCAACTACTGTTCTGAAAAACTAATGTTATTCATTCAGCCAGAGATGCTAAGTTTTACATCTTAGTCAAGCACAGTAATATCCATTTGGACTCTGACCTACTTAATTAAACTGAATCATCAAGAACCTAATATTTTTTCCTTGCATTAACAGGCAGATAATTTTCTAAAGTAGTTAACCAAATTACAATAGAGCAGATTTATTATTATTATTATTATTATTATTATTTTTGGGAAGTAATATTTGCAATAGAAAGCGTCCAAACAGGGAACGTGGCCTATGAAACAAAAGAAGAGCCAAATAGGGCCCCTAATATCTCAATATGTCCAAAAAATCCACCAACACTCCCAAAGATTTACAATTTTTCCCGGCAACCCAACAGGAAAGACAGCTAAGAATAGAAATTTTCAGCACCCCAATAGGAGTCTCCTCAATGTCAAAGAATCTCCTATTGCATTCTCTTCATAAGCCCCACCAAAGACACAAGGGTGCCACCCTCCAAAAGTCACCGGCTTGGGAACTCACTATACAACCTCTCCAGGCCTGAATCAAACCCATCGAATTCCGAGGAATAACCCAGTGGACTCCGAACAAAGACAAAAAAACAAACCCCAAGTGTCCCTAGCAACCGGGCAATGTAACAGATTTGATTTAGATCAAAAGTCAAAATTTAAATCAATCCAAAACATTTCATACTATAGAAAGAATGATTGGATTACAAGTTGAAAGAAAATCAGGAAAACATGTTTTAGAGCACCCTAGCATGCTTAAAAATATTCATCTTACTAATGTTTAGGGAATCAGTATGAGATGTAACAAGGTAGGGGTAGTGGTAGTGGTGCTAGCACTGATGGTGGTCATAGTGGTGGCAGGGGCATATATGGCCCCGTAATAAACATTGATGCAGAAAATCATTGAAATACCAACTCCAAGTAATTGCTGCAACGACTACATTAATAGAGAGGTGTGTACACACACACACACACACACACATATATATATTCACCCTTTTGGCAAGTCTTACTCACCTGCTATTGCCTTATTTGCCCCTACGGGTACTTGAAGCCTCAAGCTCCCACATGGGAGGAGGAGGAGATAAAGATGCATATTGTTACATTCAAAATTCCCCTTCACATGTGGTATAGTTCTCAACAAGGCCATCCATAGAATCACAATCCGGAATCATGGAAATCATCATATTTGGCAACTTATAAAGGGATTAAGAACCCTTTTCAGTTCTTGCATTGCTGATGTCAGTATTGGTTGCAATAGCCGTCATCATATTTGGCAACTTATTAAAGGTTGCCTCCCCACAATCCTTTTAGTACTTCTTAGATGCTTTAATTATAAGAACCAAAAGGAAAACTGGATTTAAGAAAGAAAAAAAAACAAAAGAAGAATGATTAAGAAATCAATCAGTATCATCTGTGCTCCCAACTAACTTTTCTCGCCTAATTTTTGCTCACTTTAGTAGAGGTACTTATAGATCAGTAAAAAGCATCGACATTTGAGCAATAAGCAACGCATTAGCCATTGATATTAATCTATATCTTCTCTCTCTACAGACGGATAGTAGTAGAAAATGATAATGCATCTGTTTCCAAGTTATTGGCATAAGCATTTATCTTGTTGAGAATCTTGTTTATTGTAGCAGCACAAAATGCTAAAAATGTTATTCCAAACAAATGTTTAAAAATTGCTACACCATAGTTCATATACAGGATTAAAATTTTCAGCTAATATTTCTTTCATTTTCAAGAAACTCATTCCATTCAACTGAGTTTGCATATATTTCTTCATGTGAATATATATTAAGTCATGTCATGGATTGTCATGATTTGATCAGGTGCATTGTAATTTAGAGTGCAAAAGAATATGAAGAAGGCCAACCTACCCGTTAATCATAAGCACCACTCGACTCCCTCGCGTAATTGGAACATAATTTTTATCCTGAAAAGGATAAGGAGTAAAATTACAAAGAAACTTCTAATAGCAATTCAAATGGAAAGAATGATTTTTATTATGTAAAAATTATCTACAGATATGGTGTAAAGGCTAATGTTGCTTCAAAAACATACAATCTAACAGCAGTGAAGAAGAAATAATCTTTCTATGATGTGAATCCAAGTTCTTAAATGAAATAATTAAACCAAAATGTCTACTGTTCAATAATTCCTTAAATTCCTGTGCAGGAAGACACAGTATCAAGAATTGGATTGGAATGTTGATAGGGATGATTGAGGTACTACTTGCGATATAATGAGTCCCAGGTAGACTGAATTAGGTAGAAAGCCATATATATACAAACATACATACATAGAGAGAGAGAGAGACCATATCAGAAGAAGCCACAAACTACTCGTAGTGGGACTCACAGTTGTGAAAAGTTCAAAGGCACTCGTTTGCCTTGGATTACTCTTAATGATGCAAATAAAGAATGGTGCCTTGAAAAGACTCTTTTTGTTTACTGAAGTCAAAGTTCATCCTTGCTTCTATAAAAGTATTGATCAAGGTTTGGAACTACAAAGTGTTAGCATAGGGAAGTGGTAAAATGTTATTAATGTTATGTGGGGATTCTAAAAGTTATTCTAGGAGACATTAGGAGTTGTTAGAAGTTATATTATATTATATATGGGACGGTCCTCTCTTTGCTGTAACAAATCTTAATCAATACAACTTTCAGATATAATTCGGGTGGAAGGTGTGGAGTTGTGGAGGGAGGAAGAGGTGCGTAATGGAATCGTTTCTTTTTATCAGAAGCTTTACGCCGAGCCGTTAACTTGGAGACCCAAACTTGACGGTCTCCATTTTGAGGCTATTTCTAAGTTGGATAGAGATGGGCTTGAGATTCTTTTTACGGAAGACGAAATTCTAAAGGCTTTATCAAGTTGTAATGGGGACAAAGTTCCGGGGCTTGATGGGTTTACTATGCGTTTCTAATGGAAAGTTGGGCGGTTGTGAGAAACGAGGTGATGGGTACATTTCAGGAGTTTCATTCTACTGGTGCCTTTGAAAAGTCGCTAAATGCCTCATTCATTGCCCTTATCCCTAAGAAGGGAGGCGCTTCTGACATTAAGGATTTCAGAACAATTAGCTTAGTGGGTTGTATTTACAAACTCATGGTTAAGGTGCTTGCTCTAAGGATGAGGGAAGTAATGGATGGGATTACCACGGATTCCCAGAATGCTTTTGTCGGAGGAAGGCAAATTCTAGATTCAGTTCTTATTGCAAGCGAATGTGTGGATTCCAAATTGCGAAGTGGTGTTCTTGGAATTTTATGCAAACTTGATATTGAGATAGCGTATGATCATGTGAATTGAAATTTCCTACTATATTTGTTACAAAGAATGGGGTTTGGAAGTAGATGGAGGATATGGATTGAGACATGTCTTTTGTCCGTCAAGTTCTCAGTTCTTGTGAACGGATCTCCCGCTGGTTTTTTTGGGTGTACTCGGGGTTTAAGACAAGGAGATCCTTTGTCGTCTTTCCTTTTTCTAATTGTTATGGAGGGCTTAAGCAGACTCATGCAAAGGGCAGAGGATCTTGGTCTTATTAAGGGCTTTAGGGTGGGAAGAGATTTAGTCCATCAAGTGGAGATTTCTCATTTACTTTTTGCGGACGATACCCTGGTTTTCTGTGATGCTGATGTGTCTCAATTTAGATATTTGAGGTGCATCCTGGCTTGTTTTCAGGCAGTTTCCAGGCTAAAGGTCAACGTGGCTAAGAGTGTGCTTGTCCCGGTAGGGAATGTTCAGGATATTTCTTCTTTAGCTGCAATCCTTGGGTGTAGGGTGAGTTCTTTTCCCATTCCTTATTTGGGTTTGCCCCTAGGGGTTTCTTCCAGGAGAGTGGAGAGTTGGGATCCTATGATTGACAGGTATGCGAAGAGATTGGCAGGATGGAGGATGCAATACTTGTCTAAGGGGGGTAAAGTTACTCTCTTTAGGATCCTGTGATTGACAGGTATGCGAAGAGATTGGCAGGATGGAAGAAGCAATACTTGTCTAAGGGGGGTAAAGTTACTCTTATAAAGAGCACTTTATCGAGCCTTCCCACATATATTTTTTTTTATCTATGTTCCAAATTCAATCCTCCGTTGCTAATAGGATTGAAAAAATTCAAAGGGATTTCCTTTGGGGCGGAAGGGGAGAAGAGTTTAAGTATCACCTTGTCAGATGGGAGCAAGTTTGCAAGCCTATGAAGTTGGATGGTCTTGGTATCAGAAGATTGGTTCTTTTTAACCAAGCTCCCCTGGGCAAATGGTTGTGGAGATATGGGAGGGAAAGACATTGTCCTTGGCGAAGGTTAGTTTCATGTCAGTTTGGGGAAGAGTTTGGCGGTTGGTCTAACCATCCGGTTTCTCTTGTGGGAGGAATCGGGGTGTGGAAATCCATTTGGAAGGGATGGGATGTCTTCTCTTCTCATACCAGATTCAAAGTTCATGACGACAAATGTGTTCGTTTTTGGGAAGATCTTTGGTGTGATGACCAGCCATTATCTCCTACATTTCCCAGACTATACAATATTGCAGTTGATAGACACGCCTCGGCTTGATAGTAGTGGGATTACGTGGGACGTGCACTTTAGGCGTTCCTTTCAGGATTGGGAGTTAGACGAGGTATGTGTTCTTCTGGATCAGTTGTATCGGTAGGAAGGAGTTGGCAGAGGTAATGACGATCTGACATGGATTCCCTCTTCCCATGGTCATTTAGAAGTGCGATCTTTGTTCTTATGTCTATCTAATTTTGATAGCCTTGACTTTCCGTGGAAGACCATTTGGCGTTCTATGGCTCCAACTAGGGTGGCATTCTTTGTATGGACCGCTGTATGGGGTAAGATACTAACGATTGATAATTTGAGGAAGAGGGGGAATTGTTTTGTTAATTGGTGTTGCCTATGCAAGCAAGATGGTGAGTCAGTTGATCATATCCTCATGCACTGCCCCATGGCGCACGATTGTTGGAATCTTATTCTTGGGTTGTTTGGCATGCGTTAGGTAATGCCACATTCTTCTAAGGATTTGATTCATGCTTGGAGAGGATGTCATGTGAGAAGAGGAGTACCCGATTACTGGAGAATTATCCCACACTGTGTTTGGTGGTGCATCTAGAAGGAGAGAAATAGTAAAATGTTCGAAAGGAAGAAATCGTCTACGGCGACGCTAAAACTTTATATTATTCGCTCTTTTTTCAATTATGTGAAGAGGAGTTCTTGCTCCTTTTCCGATGAGTTAATTATTTTTTTGGATTCTTTAGGGCCTTATCCCCCTGTGCCATATTTGTATAAGGGACGCGTTCCCCTTTTGAATGCCTTTTTATTTATTTCTTACTTATCAAAATATATATATATATAACTTTCAGTTATTTTCAGATTATTAACTTCTCTTAATGCTTTTCCCAGATTTTCCTTAGAAATCTAGGTTCCAATAGAGGTTGGAGTAATTTTATTCTTTCTTACTTCTGTAAGAAGACTTACGTTTATCTGTGTTTGCTTCACTTAATGAAAGTAAAATTGTTGTTAGGTGAAAGTCTTCTATACCCTTAAATGCAAGGTCAATGTCTATTATAATAATGTGGTGAATGTAAAGCAATGCCTGAGCTTACATGTAAGGAGAGGGTTAGTCATCACACATCTCCTGAAGCTTGATGAGACGGCCAATGTGGCGCTATGGTTTCTTGCTTAAGAAATGATCAGGATTAGATAACTGTAATCACAATTACTGCAAGTTAGATGGTATTTAATGAGGTTTGATACTCATTAAATGCAATAAGGCTCTATTTTATAATAACTAAAAACTATGAGCCAATATATCAAATTATATTAAACATATGTTATTCTAGAAGCTGGTGGTGTCTCTTTTAAAACCAGCTTGAGCTAGATAAATGACTTGAGGAGAGGATTCCTCGACTAACCCTAGGTTTCAGCCACTGATCCAATACATCCTATGACACCACAATACTACCCATTTAAGCCACACACCATGCTTTTATAAATAGAAAAAAATTATGTCTTGCTCACACTTCCAGCTGAGGCAATGCAGAAAGTACATCAAGGTACTTTCCAAGTCTTGAACAAGGCATATCCATAGCATGGTCCTTGTGATAGTCTTCGAATCTTCAACAAGGTTTATAAGTAGAGAGGAGGTCCTTGTTGTTAGAACATGTGTTGGTTGGCAAATTTTGGAACAAAATCAGTCTGTAATTTGAACAAAAAGTCTATGTCAGCATGTCTCGTTATGGTGAGGTCTGTGTGTTACGATCAACTTACAAGGAAGTACTTGGGGAAACTTGACACGACACACTAAATCAACTCAAACACAACACGTAATAAGTGGGTTTGGGTTTGGGTTTGGGTTAATCGTGGTGTTCGGTCATATCTTGGCGATCCAAAATTGACATGCAAATCAAATGTGTCATATTCAAGTTTAACCTGCTAACTCGTTTATAACCCAATTAGACCTGTTTAATTCAATGTATTAGGTAGACGTGTTGTGTTTGTGTTTGAAATGACCCTAATAGTATGAAATTTTAATTAAACGTGTCTTGTCGTGTCAAAGTATTGACCCATATATTAAACAAATTACGTGTATCGTGTTGCCTAATTAATGTTGTATCGTGTTCATGTCGACCCAATAACAGGATACCCATGTCATAACATAACACGAATACGACATAGAAACACAAATCGAGACTCGCCCAAAACTCTAAGACATTAGAGCATGCCAAGTCCTTACTAGATTATTTCCACCAACTATGGGACCCTAGGGGATGTTGACCTGGTAGCTAAGGTCTAGGGATAGCTGAAGGATCTTTGTAATGCATCACACGACGAGATTTACTTTTGAGACAAGACTAGAAGTAACTAGGGAAGGCCTCCACACATCTGAACTGTTGAAAAAAAAAAAAAAAAAAAAGGTTGAAGAGAAAAATTAAAACATGAAGAACACAGAA